ACAGTGCGTACACATGGAAGTAGATTCTCATTAAAACAAGTGACTATGTATTGTTAAAAATAAAAGTGAACAAAATGGCTAGGCATGGTGGCTCATACCTCTAATCCCCGCACTTTGGGAGGCTGAGGCAGGCAGATGACTTGAGTGCAGGAGTTTGACACCAGCCTGGTCAATATGGTGAAATGTGTCTCTACAAAAAACAAACATTAGCCAGGCATGGTGGTGCATGCCTGTAGTCCCAGCTAGTTGGGAGGCTGAGGTGGGAGGATCACTTGAGCCTGGGGAGTTGAGGCTGCAGTGAGACATGATTGTGCTGCTGCAGTCCAGCATGGGCGACAGAAAAAGCCCAGTCTCAAAAAAACAAAAAAAAAAACAAAAACAAAAAAAACAAAAAAAAACAAAAAGCTGACATTTATTCATATGGGAAATAAGAAAAATAGTAAGATTTTTAGAATGTGACATTTATTCATATGGGAAATAAGATAAATAATCAGATAAATATGGTGCATCGCAGAATCAGTGAAATGAAGAGTGGGAGGACACAAAATTGTGGAACATGAGAATGTGTGTTATTTGGCCAAAGAACATAAGTTACAAAGGATGGGAAACGAAAGTGGGAAAAGGACCAAAGAGTCTCATCTGTAGAGAGATCATTGAAGTTATCTGATCTTTTTCCCCTTTCCCCTGCCATCCACCTTGAAAACACCCTTCACTATAATGAAACTAAAGAGATAAAAAAGAAAATAAATATGTTCATGAACATTGGAAGCCTTGGTAGGAGGCAGTTAAAAATCACACTCCCTCACAGCATGTGCAGAATAAACAAAGGCCAGGTTTTCATCCAGCATCTGACACTTGAGAGCTGTGACTTTTGACAAGTTATTTAACTTTTTGATCCTCTTTTCAACCTCTGTAAAATAAGCACAGTAATAAGTACTGTGCAGCCTATCCTGGATGAAAGGCCCCGGTGGACACTAGCTCAACGGCACCATCTCTTTTTATTGTTATGTACTAGGCCATTCCAAACCCTGCAATGTGTGTGTTTCTCTCATGATTCTTTTAAATTCATATTCCATTTCTCCCCATAGATAAACACCTTGATGCAGATGTTTCACCCAAGCCCACTATATTTCTTCCTTCCATTGCTGAAACAAACCTCCATAAGGCTGGAACATACCTTTGTCTTCTTGAGAATTTTTTCCCGGATGTTATTAAGATACATTGGCAAGAAAAGAAGAGCAACACGATTCTGGGATCCCAGGAGGGGAACACCGTGAAGACTAACGACACATACATGAAATTTAGCTGGTTAACGGTGCCAGAAAAGTCACTGGATAAAGAGCACAGATGTATTGTCAGACATGAGAATAATAAAAATGGAGTTGATCAAGAAATTATCTTTCCTCCAATAAAGACAGGTATGTGTTTACACATATCATCTCTCCGAACACGTCTTTGAAAGGGAATCCTGCATTTTTTCCTTTCATTATTAATGAAAAACAAGCATAAATCTTTCTTAATTGGTGTCACATTTAATGGTAGCATAAATGCCCTGCTACTTTTCTATAGAATTAAAATGGTGTGGGTTTTGGAGAAAACAAAATTGAAAAGGTTACGGAAGGTTTCTCAGCCTCAGTTCCATTATCCAAAATAAGAAAGTCACATGCTGGTTTTTAGGGTTGTTAGATGGATTAAAGGAAACAATATACACGGAAGCATCTAGCAACGAAGCAAGTGGTAAATGCTCAAAAAGAGTTCTCCCTTCTCTTGATGACTTTACTTGATCTGGAAATAAGAACAAATATACGCCTTTCAGGAATGTTCTACTGAAGCAGGCAGAGTCACCTCAATCTTGCTACCCACAAAGTTTAACTTAAAAACGATGGGCTCATTGTTGACAAAATGATATTTATCTAAAAACAGTTCCAATTTTCTATTTCCTTTGCAGAGACACAAAGGGGAGGCAAATGTGCAAAGCCTGAGGGTAGTCTTACCATTGTGCTTACGTGATCTGATTTTTCCAGTGATTAGGGCAAAATAAAACGTATAGTAAGTTCCAGGACAGTGAATATTATATAGGTGACAAGTTACAGTTTTATAATGTGTTTTCCTTTACACTAAATTCTAAAAGTAAAATGTCTTTCTACCTGCTTTTTTTTTTTTTTTTTTTTTTGAGACAGAGTTTCGCTGTTGTTGCCTAGGCAGGAGTGCTATGGCACCATCTCGGCTCACCGCAACTTCTACCTCCCGGGTTCAAGCGATTCTCTTACCTCAGCCTCCCGACTGGCTGGGATTACAGGCGTCCGCCACCACACCTGGCTAATTTTCGTATTTTTAGTAGAGATGGGGTTTCACCATGTTGGCCAGGCTGGTCTCAAACTCCTGACCTCAAGTGATCCATCTTCCTTGGCCTGCCAAGTGCTGGGATTATAGGCGTCAGTCACTGTGCCCGGCCTAAAAGTACAATGTCTTTCATGCGCTTCTCAAGGCAACTACGTTAAGGAGGACACTGCTCTTAATGTCATTCCACAGTAGATTTCTAATGCTCTTTCTTGGAAGTTTGTTTTTTTCTGAGAAAAGCTAAAAATATAACATGGAAGTGATCATATTATATAATCAATGAAGTGCTTTTAAAGGAGATAAAACTAATCTGGTCCACATTTGCAACCAACCTTGATTGAGAGAGAGAGAGAGAACTCAGGATACTCTTGCAGATTTTATTACCGGGAATAGTTACTTTATTCTTTTTCTCTCAATCAGTGCATGGAAATAAGTGATAGTCATTTTCATTTATCTTTTAATAAATAAAATTAACCTAAGGAAAAGAAGAAAACATTGAAAACCCATTAAAGTCAGCCCTTAAAGATATTTGGGCATGCAGACATGATAACTAACATTTGCATTCGTGAGACTTACCCAAAACCTATGCCTCAAGTCCATTTTTGAGAATACATGAAATGAAGATCTCAGTGAGTGCATAAAACTGCACACCAGAATCATATCCGTATAGATAAGAACACATCTACTAGAAAAATAATAAACCCAAACACCAATGTGACTCTGTTTTCTTCTGCTTTAAAATATGTTGTCTTTGTATGCATGTTTGTGTCTTCCTTTTTTTTAAACATCACAGCTACATTCAACTCTCACCTCAGGTTTTATTCAGAGAACTATCAATGTGACTTGGCCCGTCTCTTTCTAGTCCCAGAAAGAATTGCACTGAAATGCTGAGCTCCTGTAATAAAAACGAGCATTTGCTGAGAATAATTAACATACTCAAAGAGATTTTCTTAGAGTACACAATGGTGACATTATATTGTCTCTTTATAAATTACTTTCTATCTATTTCTGTGGATTATTTCTACTAAGTACTTTTCAAGTGTCCAATTTCTTTTCTTCCCCTAAGACTACTGTCTGAATACTGGCTCTGCTGTTCACTGATACGACTTTCGGCAAGTTGCCTGCACTTTTTAAACTTTATTTCCTCATTCAGAACGTGGGGTCATACATAATACAACTCGTTTCAGTGTTATTGGGGAATTAAACAAAAAATGCATGGGAAGCATTTAACATAGTGCCTGAGACAATAATGAACACTCAGTAGATATTAGCTTTTGTTAATGTTGTTGTTGTTATGTCTAGAAACACTATACCTCCAGAAAATCATGGGTACTTGCTGGGGACATTGGGGACATGCATGATTTGGAAAGGAATGACTGCTTTTTTCTGTTTAGGTGAGAAATTTTTCTAAGCCAGACTCCTTCAAACATGTAAGATTCTGTTGTGTATTCTAGGACTGAAAGAATTCTTGGCCCAGTGTGGTGTCTTATCCCTGTAATCCCAGCATTTTGGGAGGACAAGGCAGGAAGATTGCTTGAACACAGGAGTTCAGAACCAGCCTGGGCAACATGGCAAAACCCTGTCTCTACAAAACATACAAACAATAGCTGGGCGTGCTGACATGTGTCTGTACTCCCAGCTACTCAAGAGGCTGAGATGGGAGGATCACCTGTGCCTGGGCAGTTTGAGGCTTCAGTGAACCGTGATGACACCACACTATACTCCACTCAGCCTGGGCAACAGTGAGACACTGCCTCCAAAAAAAAAAAACAAAAACCCAAATTAATCTTTTTGCTGGTCTCATGTCAGCAGTGTGTGTTAAAGGCTTTAAAGTAGCCACTTGTTCTGTTTATTTTTCCACTGAACAAGTATTTATCAAAAACATACTTTGTGGCAAACACTGTGCTAAGAGCTATGAATACAGAAGGAAAACCAAATGATCTTGGATACTACACTCCAGTTGGAATAAAAAAGAAAAAGTATATTCTCCATGAACTTCAATATATTGATGTGCAAAACCATAATATATGAATTAGATCTATCTAATCACATAGAATTAGACCAATTATTTTTGGAATTGTGGGCTCATATTTTTAATAACTGTCCTCCTGCCTCTCTGTTGACAGGTTTTATTAATATTCATTTAATGACACACACACACACACACACACACACACACACACACACAAACATACACATACACCTTGACAAATAATGGGCATGAATAATTGACTAGTACTTGCTCTCATTCTTCTAGATGTCACCACAATGGATCCCAAAGACAATTGTTCAAAAGATGCAAATGGTAAGCTTTTGTGTTTTTTACTTCCTCTTGATCATTTTAACTTTTGAACTTCTCTGGCATGAAAAATCAGGGAATGGATTTTGTTAGGTTGGATGCTGCAGAATTGACCTTGTGATATTTTAAATTAGTCCCTCATTTTCTAGGAGTTGTATTCACAGAGCAAACTATTGCTTTGGGGTATGAGATGGCTGTAAATTAGAGGGTAAAGTGATATGCTTTTAACTATTTCAAAAAACATTTTATTCATCCATGTGTCTTTTTTTTTTTTTTTTTTTTGGAGACAGAGTCTTGCTCTGTCACCCAGGCAGTCACGATCTCAGCTCACCACAACCTCCGACTCTCAGCTTCAAGTGATTCTCCTGCCTCAGCTTCTCAAGTCGCTGGGACTACAGGCGCATGCCACCATGCCTGGCTAATTTTTGTATTTTTAGTAGAGTCGGGGTTTCACAGGCTGGTCTCAAATTCCTGACCTCGTGATCTGCCCCCTCGCCCTCCCAAAGTGTTGGGTTTACAGATGTGGGCCACTGTGCCCGGCCTCATGTCTTTTGTTTTAATGACTGGGGAAAACATGATACCATGTTGCTTCTCGAGTTGTTTTGTTTTAGTCTTTGGTCTTTGTTAGTAGCTAATAACGAACCAGTGTTTATCAAGTGCTTTTTACACAGAAGGGCTTGAGCTGTGTTCTGCATTTTCTTGTTTAACTCTCTTAACACCCCTATAAAATGGTACATTATTTTTTTCTCCCGATTTACAGTCCCTTTAAAGCAAATAATTATAAAAATCCCTATACATGTCACACAGCTAGATGTGGGATTTCAAATCAGGCCATCAAACAAAGAGTTTATGTACTTAGTAAGTTTCCTATTATTTTTCTGCAATAGAGTCAGATAGCAAGAAATTACAAAGCCAGGAACCCGATTAAAAAAAGGACACAATGTGGGGATGGGTGGGTGCATGGACTTTGCAGAGTGAACTTTCACTCCAGCTCTTTTAATGATTAGGTGTAAGTGACCTATATTTTGTGAATAACATCTTTTTTAATCAGCCAACCACGAATAATTACACCAGATTTACAGTTATTGAAGAGATAAGGGCATGAATGTGAGATGTCTAGCATAGGGTATCTCATTTAGCAGACACAGAATGAGTACTTGTTTCTGGCCTTTTCTCTCTACATATGCACAAAGAATGTGACTAGAAGCATTGGCTCTAGCCCTGCTCAACTTTCTTCTATTTCCAATACCAAGGGGCTCTGACTTAAGCTGCCACACCAGGCAAGGAGGGGCAGTAACATCTCACTTGACGAAGGGTGGAAAGTTAGGAACACATCACTTTTCCACACCAAGTACTGATGTTTCTGGAGTTCTGACATCATGAAGACAAAACATGTAAAATGGAAATTTCTACAGGCAGAGACTCAGCCTTGTAGCTCATTGAGTAGCTACTGGTGGTCCACCCCCACTGTCTTTACTTATTCCTGGACAGCACATATATCTTGCAAAACCTCAAATAATATGAAATGCAATCACCCAATAATAGCATAGCCATAATCAGAGACATTTAGGAAAGACAGGTGAGTGTGCCACAACTACCTAACACATCAGCGAATCTGGATTAACCACTTTCTTTGCTTTCCTACAAAGCAACCTTACTTTTTAATAGCTTAGAATGTTCTATGTGAATTTAGCAGAGGTTGTTAATCAACTTGAAAGCTGAACTCTGACTTGTCTGACTCTTGGTGGTGGTGGTAGCAGTAGATGTTTACTTTTAGGTTTTGGTGGTGGTAGAATATCACTTCAACGTAAATCGTCAGAAATAAGTATTTGTGAACCCTTCTCCCGTTAATATGTTATTCTGTAAAAAGAACATGTGAAATTTCTCTTAGATGCACTACTGCTGCAGCTCACAAACACCTCTGCATATTACATGTACCTCCTCCTGCTCGTCAAGAGTGAGGTCTATTTTGCCATCATCGCCGTCTGTCTGCTTAGAAGAACGGCTGTCTGCTGCAATGGAGAGAGATCGTAACAGACGGTGGCACAAGGACGCCATCTTTTTCTCATCGGCTATTGTCCCTAGAAGTGTCTTCTGAGGATCTAGTTGGGCTTTCTTTCTGGGTTTGGGCTATTTCAGTTCTCATGTGTGTACTATTCTATCATTGTTGTATAATGGTTTTCAAACCAGTGGGCACACGGAAAACCTCACTCTGTGATGACAATGAGGAATAGCCATGGCGGTCTCCAGCACCACTCTCTCCATATTCTCCACAGCTCCTCCAGCCAACCCAAATAGCCACTGCCATGGTGTAGACAGTCCGCGGCTTCTAGCCTTGTCCCTCCCTTAGT